TATATCACAAATACGGTCTTCGACCACTCTGGATCAGAAGACTTCAAAATGGTCTAAACTTCCTATTCAAGGTCACCCACGATCAAGATATTCTCAAAATGAATTTACTTACCAACCAAAACGCCCCTCGAAACATCAGAAATAGCGAGGATATTATAAAGATTCCCAAATTCACAAAGTCTCAACGATCAAATTTCTACACCATAAGACATGCGACTATCTGGAATTCTCTTCCAGGTTATATCCGGAAAAGTCGAACCCTAATCGAATTTAAAATAAAAACTAAGAAATTCCTTTCAAATAACAATACACATTTATTTTTGAATAAGATAGGACATTTTTCAAGTCAATTTTTCGATATTGAATTTGGTCAAAAAGAGCTCTGATGATGCCAGCCGATTAAAAAATACCGGAACATAGAACTAAAAATAATCAAATTTATAAAAGAAAGCATCATTGATAAACATAGAACAGATAATGATATTCTTCTGTTTTCCTCCCTTTCTCGATTTCATAAGCTATGTCACCTGACACTAAATATCCCTTATAAAGCTAATAAAAATATACCCTTCGATAAAACCCTGCACATTAGTCGTGCGTATGTGTATATTAAAGCCATATTAAACATATATAGAACTATATTAGGTCATAGTAAACAGTCGACCACTACTCCTATAATTTCACATTAACAAGAACAATATGATACATGGTTTAATTGTATTTTGGCAGTTTTGATTGTGACTTACCATTGAATGCTTCTTACTTCTGATATAAATTCATCTTTTCCAGCTCGTAGTCCAGACAACTATGGTAAGCCTCCTGAAAAATACGTAGAACTGTGCGACCGCCCCCTTACAGCTGGCCAGATAGACTGTAGGAAACTCTAGAATGCCAGACCACGTGCGGCGGCCATCTTGGAGAAGGTTCTAGAAAGCGCGCCCCGTAAGGGTCGCGCCCGTCGAACTTTCCTTTATTTATACGCCAGGCTGTTATTCGCAATTTGGCTTCTTACAAAAAGTATGCATATAATTAATTATTATAGCCCTAAATTTAGGCAAAATAGCCCTGGTCTAAGTTTTTTTTAACTTTCCATCCCCAACCTACCCTTAACCAATCAACGATGGCGACCCAACCTTGATGACTTCCGCCCTGGAAAAGCTATAAATACGGGCGAGGATTAACCTCCGGGAACCCCATGGCCGGCCGCGAACCTTCGGACGTGGGACCTCTGTCGCTGTCTCCGTTGAATCCCCGTGCCTCCGCCAATCCCGCTGGACAATCTCTCCTTGCCCCAGTCTATTTTTGTAATTAGGTTTCCCTTCTTTAGTTTCTTATTGTACATAGGCCTTCAAGTATTTAGGAGTTGCCAAAGCCTTACTTCATTGGGCCGTCTCTCGTACTGATAGTTGGGCTCGTTATAAGACTGACAACCAGCAACTAGAGCAAACCGAAATTTACCCAGCAGGAAAATAATTTCAAGGTCAGGCCGATATCAAAGTTCTTCAATTGCCATGAAGGACATATTATTGATGCCCCCGAAAACTATCAAACCGCAAACTTCAATTTTTATTTTGTACATATCGTTACTTTTTGAAAATTTTGTTATTATTTGCCCTTAGAACTGGGGTTTTATTTAACTTAAAACAAACTCTCAATTCGCGCTCTTTTGGCTAACCAGACACCCGAAGCAAATGAAGTCAAAGTGCAGTTGAAATTGACGAGTTTGTTTAAGGTTTTTTTCCTGAGTTCAAAGGGGCCTGACAGTGCCCAAGGGGCGCTACAATAAACCTATTCTATTCTATTCTTTTATATATAATTGAGGGGTACCACTTGATCTATCGGACCGGGAGTATTTATACGTGGCGGAAGAATAGGAATTTGGACGAAGTCCGGAAGAACGAAAATTCTGGACAAACCTTTGACGAGGCCGGGTCAATCTGGGGACGATCCTAGATAAGTCAGGGAGGTAGAGAAGCGAGGAGCCTAGGAGAGCATCGGCAGCATCCAGGAGGCGTTCTCCAGTCCAAGTTTTGAACATCAACTCTCGTCTCTATTTTCAGGATTTCTGGGCGACTCCTAAAGGCTCAAATAGAATAGACCACTAAGTAAATGAAATAATTTTATAAAAGACCCATAGGGGTCCCTTCAGAGTAAGTAAAAATAATTTTTCAGATTAATTTCAAACGAGGTAGGCAGAATCTGTACAAGATACACTTCATAGGTTCTGAACTAGTAGTCCGTTAATAAAAATAATGAGCGAGGAGTGAAAAAATTCTACTGTAGAATAGAAAGTTATTGTACTAACTTTAAAGAGAAGAAACTCTCGCTTATGAAAGGACAAAAATGCGGTCAGGACCGGCATGCATGTAGAGCGTATAATGGATTTTAATCGGACATCGTCAGGGCAGAAATAAATGCCGGCCTTGAGGGATACGTATGCGGGTCGGGCAGGACTGGCACACATGTGGCATTGATGAGATGGAGCCGACAAAGACAAGGGAGACCGGAATGGCCATTTCTGGCTTATTAGCCGTCATCAGCCAGTCATACCCAACCCCAAGTGTGGATCACTTGAGGTTCGAACCGGGGACCTTTGGTCATGGAGTTTGACGCTGTACCATTGAGCCATGGGCCCGTTGTCCTGTCGGTTGTGATCGGGAATATTAATTATGACAGTGGGCGCACGCCGATCAGGTGACGGAACATGCTCGTTCCGTTGTGCCTTGGGGCTCATACTTAAACCCTCGAAGGCAGTCACACAGCGACTAATAGTAGACATTGATGAGATGGAGCCGACAAAGACAAGGGAGACCTGAATGGCCATTTCTGGCTTATTGGCCGTCATCAGCCAGTCATACCCAACCCCAAGTGTGGCATTGTACAAGGGATTCAAACGGACATCGTCAGGGCAGAATGCATACACCGGATGAGACTGTTCGCTTCCAAGAGGCCAGACGAGAGGAACCCACACGCGATCAGTCACAGTTCGCTTCGAGTGCAGCCGAGGAGGGTCAAGGAAGGTACGACAAAACTACTATTGGACGGCGAATACAGAGGGTTCCGCCGTGAGCGTCGACAGACTGCTTGAGTTCAAAATGAGGAGATGACATTTAGAACCGCGACAACCGTAGCTATAGAGAAGAAGTGCTAGCAGTGGATTTAGTAGCCAATTCAAAGCAGGGGTTGTAAAGATATAAGTGAGGGTTTCCACTTGATTTACCACTAAATCCCAGGAGGACCCTTCTCGGAGTCAAGAAGCTGAGCGTTCGGGAGTGAGACGGTTAAAAGTGTCTATATTTTCCGGTATAAGGTGTTAGCGTAATTTCGATTTGAATGCCGATAACATAGGCGATGATCTAATTTCTGGCGACGGATTATCCCAAAGGAAGGCATATATGGAAGCAAAATAGAGGGACCGCTTAGATGAAGTACAAACAGGCGGCGGAATCACCATGCAGGAGTTGCGCGTGACATAAGACCAATCTCTTTGAATGAGAATGTCAATGAACGGAAGATTGGAGCTGGAGTTGATGTGAAAAAGGAAGCAAAGGCCAACTTCGAGTCTTCTAACCCACAAAAACTTAATGTTCGCCAGCTGACATCTCTGAGTATAAGAAATACTGGACGAAGCTTGAGAGAACAGATTCCGGGTGAAAACCCTCTGGACATTTTCGATTTTATTACGGTCGCAGGCGTTTATTAAACCAAAAAAAGGACAGCAGTGTTCGAGGACTGGAAGAACAACCATTTGATAAGGTCTTCGCTTCATTTCTGGAAGGAAAAATCCTGCGATATGTTCTCACATATCTGTGCGGATTTGGCAGAGATTCTATCTGCATGAGGTGATATAGCAAGCTTATTTGTCTAACTTAGACCTAGGTCCTTTATGGTGAGGCATTCTGAGAGTGGGTTATTCTGAAAAATTATGGAACCAGGAAGTGTGGCAGGACCAAAAGACATGAAACTACACTTGGATGACGAAAACTCCATCTGCCATGTTGAACCCCATCAGCTTAAGCGTAGTAAATTGGCATGAATGTTTTCAACACAAACATTTGCGGTGTCCTTAGAATATGGGTAAACACACTTGAGATCATCGGCATTCGTAGTTTAAGTAAGTTTGAAGGGTGGTGGTCTTTTTTTGAAATGGCTGGCGGTAAACAAAAATGAATCAATTCGTGGTCACTATCAAAGAGGTCCTTTCTGATGGCAACAAAAAGAGGTGCAATGTCATTGGTAAGGATTAGATCTAAAATGTGCTTTTCTCTTGTTGGAGAGCGCACCAATACGAACCAATTAAAAGAATGATAATATCCTGGAAATGCTGGAATCTAGGTGGACAGATACTGGAAACCCAGTCTATTTTAGGAAGATTAAAATCCCCAGTGATTATTTTTACATGGAAAACAGATTCCGAAATTAATTTAAAGATTTGACGAAGTGGTAAATCATCACTGACTGAAGATTTAGGGGGATTATAGATACAGCCAATAATTGTCTCGCTTTGCGGCGAGAGAATAACAGATGCAAAGTAGAAGTTGCCCGCGAATGAGGAGATATCCAGGTAATAGGTTGAGGGCTTTATGTAGGATCTAAAGTAAAGAAGACAACCACCCATACACCTAGTTGTGCGGTCTGGACGGTAAAAATCGGAGTCATCTATGAGAAGGGCAGAGTCAGAAATTAGAGAATGGGTCCAAGATTCTGTAATACATATAATATCAGGTGTCAGTTCAAAGGCAATGGCTCTGATTTGGGCTATCTTGTTGATAACAGACCTGACATTCAATAATATAATATCAAATCTGTTTGGAACAGCAAGACTATTGTCGACGGTATTTAGAAGAAAAAATGTGTACGTGAATATGCAAGCTGTGGATTAATGATGCTTGAATATAAAGTACCAGTTAGTCTAGAGTTATTGACGTACGGGGAGTTAGCAGGGGAAGGCTGGGCAGGAGACCTTAAAGGATGTGGTGATAAAACTTTCGAGCATTGGAATGCACGGGGAGTTAGAGGAGGAGGAGGAGGAGGAGGAGGAGGAGGAGGAGGAGTCTAGAAGAAAGGTAGAGGCTGGTATGCCAAAGCCAGATAGCGAAGATAAAATAAAGCAAGACATGGCCAATAGGATCCTCAGTTCCGTTTTTATGGGCAGTTTGGCCCCAGTGAGATTACTGATAAGTAAAAAGAAATAGCCAATGAGTACACTAAAAGTTTACACTTAATCGGGTGAGAGTCGACAGGATTAACGGTCCCAGTGACATAAACCAATACTATTGGAGAATTGACGTGAGGAAATTGCGGGTTCCAGCCAATAGGAACTTCGACCGCTGTAAGTGGCAATTCTCTGGCTATCTTATTCAGATTGGAAAAGTTTAGAGATCCGGGAAGATTTTTAGAAGAAGAAAATTGGCTCTCCGGAACAGGTTTATTTAACTGCTGACGTTTCAAAGAACTGGGTCGGCTTTTCATTGTCAAAGCGTAAACTGCACCTAATCGATCAGAAAGTTAGATAGATAGATAGATAGATAGGTAGATAGATAGATAATTTTTATTAAAGACCCGTCGGGGTCCCATCAAAGCAAGTTAAAATAAATTAAAATAATAACTTAAAGTGGCAAGCTGTGTTGGCCGGCCTCATGCTGATCGATTTTTCTCTCTCCTCACGCTGCGTCGGCCTCTCAGGAAATGGTTGACGGGCGTTTTTGCCTGTGCGCTTTATGAGTCACCACTCCGTCGAGGGGAGCTGATTGGACTTTAGTCGGGCGGTCGGTCTGGCGGTTCCTGTTCTTCCTCACCGAGTAAGCTCAGCGTCGGGCTATCTCCGTGCTGTCTTCTTAAGTCCGGTGTGGTTGTTTGGTCCTGAGCTCTACGGTTGTGATGACGTAGGACTTTGTAAGCTGCAGGAAGGTCCAGATGCCTGTTGATAGAGTGGGCATCGGAGAACCACGCCTCGAGAGTTAGCCGTTCTATTTTTGTGTTGCCTCGGCCTAAGATGGTTGCCCTCTGGAGGTCAAAAGTATGCCCCGTTTCCCCAACGTGTGTTGCTAGTTGGGAGTTAGGGTCTAACCTCCGAGTGGCCGATTTGTGCTCTTGTAGGCGAGTTTGCAATTTCCGCCCAGTTTCGCCCACATAGTTGCAGTCACCCTCATTGCAATTTATATTGTAGATGACTGCTGAGGTTTCAGCGGGTGGCAATGGGTCTTTAGGTTGCATCAGGCGACGTCGAATTGTTGCTTGTGGTCTATGGGCTATGCCTACTCTGGTGGGTTGTAACAGTCGCGAGACCGCTTCAGAGACCCCTTTAACGTAAGGAATGGCCCTCCAGACTTCGGGTTGCTGCTCATTTGGCCGTTGTCTGGGCGCCCAACGTCTGCTTCTCTCGATGAAATGCCTGGGATAACCATTGGCTGCAAATAGGTCCACAAGGTACAATCGTTCGGCCCTTTTATCTTCTGGTGTGCTGCAGTGTGTTTCGACTCTTTGGAATAGAGTGCGGACACAACTACGTTTGTGAGACAGTGGATGGTTGCTGTTGAAGTGTAGGATCTGTCTCGTGAACTAGCACACATTGGGCAATCTTTGGCGCCATCCTTCCACAACGTCGTCGGTCTCTATGACTAGCATCGGGGACTAGCCCGCTTGTTGGGATTATAAAACAGTGGCAGGAGTGTGAAGCTAGATACTTAGTTTGGATTTTGAAAAATCCTATTCCACTCCTTGAATTCGCACCATCTTCAACTAATCGAGCACGCGATACAAACTGGAAAATGTCACCATTCCCGAACTAGACGCCAATTCGGCACAAGTCCGACTGTTACTAAAGTGGCACGGGAACCAAAGCGTGCGTTAAAATACGCCATCGGCTGCACATACCTATGTCGAAATGTTGACATCTAGAAGATATCGTATTGTTACTGCGAGCACTGGTACTTAAGACAACGTTACTTTTGAAATCAAAGATTTGTAAAAATTCCAACGCAGGTGAGATTCGAACTCACGCGGGGAAACCCCAATGGATTAGCAGTCCATCGCCTTAACCACTCGGCCACCGCGTCACGGCGCTTGCGTGCTTAAAAAGATTCTGTAAATTTCTCGCAACTGTGACTTAATTCATAACATGAAGTAGCAGCAACTGTCGTCACTTCTGCGTATAGGAAAACAATAGTTGTTATTTTTTATCCACCATCTGTCGAAATCTCCATCACATTATGCTACTTATAGCTGTTTCAGGCGTTCAGAATGTGAGCTCCTAGAGGGGGGGGGGGGGCGCGACCGAAAAATCCAACAGGTATTTTTAAACCAAGTTGTTAGTAAGGAAACTGCAAGGAAGGTGTATCGTTGTCCAAGCTAGCGTAATCCCTCGTTATTTTGTTAGTCTTAAAACGGATCCGACCTGTTCTATTGCAACCCCCACAGCAATTAATGCTTTTGAATTTGTCCTTCCAATCTTCCTCCACGGTGGAGCCTCCGATTGTGCTTCATTACCGTGTCTCGGTTTGCTTCGTCTCAAATGATGCTCTCCACATTAGATTGCATCAACGACTACTCACGGAGGCCAGTCGGTCACTCCACGCACAAACATGGACCGGGCTGACTGCGAGGTCTTAGAGGAATAGGTGGTTAGGTATCTTCCAAGCCATGGCGGCTTTCAGCGCACCGTGATAGTTTAAAGGCGTGTGAAATGGCCTACGGTAAGGAATATTTCCTGAGGGCTGACCTCTCTCTTTCCCTCTCCCATTCACCACCCCAGTGTTCAGACTGACCAACCATCTGATGCTGACATTGAGTGCAGGGGCTGACAGGACCAAAGACAGTTGCAGCAACCGCGACCCTACCCGGCTACATGCATTAGGTATGAAGCAGCTTGGCAACAGCGCCATATAAGTACCGCACCCCTTGGGGATCCACCACGCTCATCTGCGATCATGTCTAATTATGGGTTCGAGAAACCGAAACTTATTGAGAACAAAATTTCCGCTCCAGAGATCGCATCTCCTCCTCAAAAAAGGAAACCATTATAGCGATTAGGGCTTCGTCATATTCACCGTGCGGGCTATCGCTTAGGAGAACACTACCTTGCCGTATAGAGAATGGGTCAGATGTGGTTATGTAGCCTCAGCTGAAGTAAACAAACCCCATCCACCTGTAATACGGCACCGGTAGTTATAGGGGTTTTTACAGGTGGGGCTGGGGAACACACAGGCGACGAGGTCAAGTAATTGAATGCAAAAGAAAACCTATTTTGCATGCGCGGGTGCACTTTTAGGGTTGAGAAATCGCTGCCCATATCCTAACCTCCAAATTGAACCTAATTATTACCCCTAACCCCAACCCCAACAGTATTCTGTCCATCAGGTGGGACGACATAACCTCATCTTACCGGAGAATGACATTTCAACCGGCCCTTTACAGGGGCAGTAATTGCTAGGATCAGATCGTTCAAGCCGTTTGTTCAGTCACAAACTTTGATAATAATACGGAGAACGGAAAGGGACGCCTGATTTTCTACCTTGTGAGTGTTGCTCTCTAGTATATTTAGATCTCGTGTCCTTTAGGCAGCCCCACTTAAAAAAAGCTCAGGGAGTCCCAGCTTCATTTTTAATACTACCTTCATCTAAAAACCAGTCTAAATGGCCGAAATAGGAAGAATCTCGTTCCCAGTCCACTTATTTCATCTGACTCGGCTTCGGTCCCGTCCTCTTATCTAAGCCCTAAGGGTTTGAGTGCAGATGACATCAACTGGCGCACAACTAGGGAACTTGCTTATCTCTATTTAGTATCATAACTACTTCTTTGCCCATCCTTCAACAGCCAACACCACTCTAGCCCAAGTTTGCATGTCCCCAACCCCAAACAATGTTCATATTTGCAAAATCCAGAAGTTCCAGCCCCCTTTACTGTCGACGTTCCGGGGCTCGGTTTTTCGCATACAGATTTGGCAAACCACGTGTGTGTTGCTGAGACCGTCGCTTGCAAATTAATCATGCCCGAAGGTTTAGGATCGATACCTCGGATTCAAACACCAGGGATCGATGCCTGTGCCCCTTGAATGCCGCCCACCGATCAGTTTGTCCGATGATGCCTGCACCGACGGATCTCGATCTGCGCTTCCTCTCCTCCTGGCTGGAGCACGTTTACATTCCTCTTTTTAGGGCGTATAGGGCAAAACTTAGGGAACAACAATCTCAGGCTCTAAATGTACTTGGTAAGTCTCAAAGTTTTCTGCTCATTACATGCTTTTTATGTGTTTTATAGTGGTTTTTAAAGCTACTTACTAGATGAAAGTAGGGTTTCTTTAAACATTAAGACCACTTGGTCAACATGAGGCAAGTAGGTTCGGCCTCATGCGGGAAGGCTTTGTTGGCACAAATAGCCGAGTTTTACGGAGAGCAGTTGTTAGTAGTTGTGAACTTCAAAGCTTATTTTCTTAGGTCGTACATGACTTCTGTTAAATGGGGCTCATGGAGAGAGAAGAAAACTCGTATATATGGCAAAATTAAGCACAATGGAGAGCCAGGTGTAGATACTGTCGTAATGGAGCTTGTATAATGTACACAAAATTCTGCGCTCCTTTTTCCAACTTAAAACACATTTTGAGGGGTTCAGTCGAGCAAGCACATGACGCGACTATTTCAGGCTTTATTTTTGGAAGCAGAGCAAATGTTTTTGCATTGTGTACGATGATCCACTTTCATAAGGCAAAATTTCGGTAGCACGGTATCATGGTAGTCCAACCTTCAGATGGTGGCAGGTGAATGGGCGTCAACAGGGTACCCGGAGGAATAAGAGTTGGGATTTGGTTCTTCGGAATGTGTCATGCTGTCTCTCCACCCACGCATGAAAACCGAAGTCGCTGTATAACTGGTTGCGTACGTCATATGCCCACCCTGTAATAGCCAGAGGTCAAAACGGGATCAAGTCTATTGCAAACCTCCGGGCATCCAGACAATGCGTTACGATGAAACGCCCGGTAATTGCATCCGGTAAGCCTTCAGTAATTTTTTAACTAGAGTTTTATGTTTATTTGTCACTTTTCAGGTAATCTTCATACGGTAGCCGGACAAGGAGATGCACCTAGCAACGGATCCTCTCAACATTTCCCCCACATCTATCCCTTCCCTGACCTCGGGTTTCAGACGCCGCTGCCTACCACCTCATCCACCGCCATCTCATACAACTTGGCCGGATATGAGGAGTCCTCAAGACCATGGTCTGGCGAGGATTCTTTCGAGCATTCCTTGCCAATTCCCACACCACGACACACAGATTCTGCTGTTAGGATGGCAGCTGGACAAACGTTCGACGTCCAACCATTAAAGCAGCTCGCGCCTCAAAATTACGACTGCCGGACATTTACCATTCAGCCCCGTCCAGATGAACCCTCAACAGACATGGATATTGCACTACTTCCTAGTCTTACTAGCCAGGACCTAATCTCCTCCGACTCTACAGAAGTATGCCTCGAGTCTCCAGTATTCACACCCACCATGAGTATCGCATTTTTATCATCAGAGGTGAATAGTACCGAGGATTTTGCCACATTTAGGTAAGTATCTCATTTGTTTCATCATTAAACCCTCATGAGATGTCGAGATCTTGCCTGAGCCACCGAACAAGGAAAGGAATTCCGAGGCAGACGGTTAAGGCATGCCACCACAAGGCGGTGATTTGTGTCTCACGACCCACTGCGCATGCAGTTTAAACTAGCAAAAGTGGAATTGCTGTTTCAGTATATTTGGTGAAAACAATTCTTGTCGATCTGCAGTTTAGCAGTGTAAGCTAATGTTTAGCGTCAAAATGTGTGAGTCAAGAGCGACCGGGATCCAGTAAATCTAATTGCGTCCGAGTTATTCACTAAGAATATGAAGTTATACTTGTTATGTTCCCTTGACCAGTTTCACACTTTCGGTTTTAGGGACGTGACCCCAACCCCCAGTGTCAGGAAAACACGAACCAGATATGTCGTCGAGGAGGCAACTGAAATCTATGAGGCGGGGGAATTTGAGATGTGCACAGGCTATGCCATCTCGCAAGCCCACCCACGGATTCACAGACAGAGAAACCGCGGTAAGCGACCTCTTTAAGGCTCACAACTCCGCCCATTGCGGAGGCAGCGATTTGTTGTCAAATGTTTGAAGCTTTATGCTTATCATTTTCGCCATCTGACTAGGGAATTCTTGACTTTTAAAAGGGCTGCATTGTGCATACCGTGTAAGCATATTTAAGGCTAGTACGTAGACCTACTTACTCAAGATGATCCTTTGAACGGTCCTTGCAGCTGCGTGGAGACCGGTCGTCTCTGGTCCAATGGCACAGGACACACGGGCTGAAACTGTTCCGGTTTGCCGGAACAACATATCGGCTAAACAGTTGCCCAATTCTCGCCGGGTAGGTTATTTACTTACGCATTGACTGAGCCTTAAATTTCGTCCACTAAATCAAAATCCTTTCTTTTAGCCACGACCTATGGTACCCCGATTTCTGCGGCGTATCTGGCGCCGACTTTGCTGCTGCACTACACCAGCTGCCGAGTGAGCTGGCGATGGACATCGAGGTCAGGACGGAGCTAAGATGCGTTGCTAGGTGCATCTCCTTGCACGCCAGAGTACACCCGCCCCCCACCCACCCTTAAGCTTCCCGAGTGTTCCCCCTCTCACCAGCGTATGTAGTAGAGTAACGTACACAATTAAAGTCATTTTAGCCAAAACAGCATGTTCTTTTGTTTTCCACTGTCGACCTTCCCTGGACGGAGGTAAATGTGGAGGCAATGGAATTCGGTGAGAAAAGCAGTTTTAAGTCCTGTGGACGGCTGCGACATAGTAGGTTACCAAAGACACTAAGATCCTAGGAAACAAAATCAAGACTACGCCAGGCATGGTTACCTTAAAGGGAGGCATTTGGTAGACGTTGTGCGACTGGATATAACCGATGAAATGGAGCCGTTAACTTCGGGGAAACTCAGAAAATTCGTGCTCTATGACCGTTGTGGCGCCTTCAATATTAGTCGCGCCCTTGTAATCAACCAAAATCCGATTGATGAGTCTAAGAGAATTCAAGTGGAATCCTACACGATGAATGCATGCAGCAGAACAAATCAATCTACAACGTTGATTAACCTAAACACAGGTCTTATTCCTAGGTGGCATTGAAAAATGGTGGGATTATAAAGTTGGTGGAACGTTGACAACTTGAAAATGGTGACATCGAAGACGGTAGCCCTACAACCAACTGTTATGACCCGGGAGAAGGTAGAGAATCGGTTTGGAGGACAAGAACTTTATTGGAAACTTGCGGACTTGAAGGAGGTTACAACTCCTCCCGTGCGTTCTGGAACATTCCGTCCAATGACGTGCCAGCCGTTGAGGGCGTTCTAAAATGTTCCTGCCCCGAGCGTGCCGGTCGCTGATTGGCCACCGCGTGCACGATAGCTCCGCCGCGGAAACGTCTGGAATGTTCGGCCATCCATTGATTGGGCCGCACACGTGAGCAAAGCCACCACGCGTGCTCGACGCTGCAGTGCGCGCCGGTCGGTCGTCTAACTTCACGCGTGACTCACGTCGCCGACTTGGTCCCCTGTTTGGCGCCTTAGGCCGTGGCTCTACGCCGCTTTCACTCTCCATAACACAACTGCACTCTGGTTCAGATCTCGGGCACTTCTGGTCTGGGGTTTGTTTCTCCTTTCCGGCCAAGTCTTCGACATGGCGAACAGCGCAGACAAGACAGACTGACATGGTCATTTATCGTTCCGTTTCCCCATCTCCCTTGTCACTGTTGGTGCGACGCCTCAAATGCTTATGGTTATGCGATGGTGTACGAGGGTTCTAGATCGGAGTTCTAAGGCAGAACCCGTATCTCACCCCCAAATCAGACGACCATTCGGCTTTCCCTGTTTTCGCCAGAAAAAACTTCTGACTGCTTCTCACTTTGAGATCGATTTCAACGGCTCAAGGTCACAATTTCAAGTGAACGAATGACGTGCGTAGTCTATCCTGCATTCCAGTCAGTTAGGCGAACGCCGCTCTACCTGCCTCTTATTTCTGACCACTGTTTTGTTGGCTCCGTCAGGATCACACTGCACAGAAAATTTATGTATATGCGCTACTGGCACTTTGATAGTAGGCATTTGTAGGCTCTTTCGAACGGTCGGAAGACACTTCTTTACAAGTCAAGTGCTTCTGGTGGCGTCAGACTAAGCCGCAGACAAATTCACGACCGCGACCTGATCTAGTTAGTAAGTCAAGTGGCCAGTTACAACAGTCAAGGATACCTAAAGTTCGCTCGCAACGCATTTGGCCGACCTCCGAAACGAACAAAACTATTGTTTCCATTGCTAACAGCGCAAAGGGTTGCCCGCGTAACAATTGTCGATGCGTTTTTCGAAAGAGAACAAACCCGAGACTGGTCATGAATCCCTGATTTAGCTTTACAAATGTAATCATGTCAGTCGACTAGTTGTCTAACCCAAAGTCATCCTGAGACCGAGAGATAGTAAAGGCAAAAGTTCGACCTGTCTGAATCGCAGAAAAGACTTTAGGAATGAGGATAGAGATAATTTTGGTGTGTCAGTATCGATGCTCTTTGCAAACGCCAAATTCTTTCTGTCGACATAGAATATTTGTTTCCATCAAATGATAAAAGTTTGCGATGGAATATTCGAGAGAGATATGCGCAAGACAGACTCGTACAAAGACACAGTTGTCGAAATGCTGTTTCCGGACAGTGGTTTTTAATTCTAGGAAAGTCGCGGTGGTGTTGGATTACGCAAAAGGGAATCATAATTAAATTTGAGGCGCAGTTACAAAGCAAACAGTTGGTTCTCTAAGTCTACAGGATAGACCATCTTTCGCGGTACGGCTGGTTTACAACAAGACACTTCCCGCATTGAAGAAGTTCTGGGGGAGGGGGGAAGTTTACAGGCATGTTTAACACCACAATCATCCCTTCGAATCCTCAAACAGAACTGATAACCGGATGCACATGCAGTAGACATCAGAGCACACGAACTCATGACAGAAATCACATATAAGTTATCAATTTCGGGAGAAAATACTTACGCAGGTTTTCAGTATTTAACTGCTTGCTCAGTCGTCTGGAAATACATTCTGTGACGAATCCCTGTTGTCAACAGCCAGCACTACGACACCTGCCGTCGTTGTTCAACACTCAATCGCATCAAGATCACTCACATTCGCGGTCAGCTGCTCCAGCCGCCATGATCGTACAGTCTGGCCGACTGTAATATACGCAAGCTGGTGCACTCAGACGGTCACAGCCGCTCAAGTTCAACTTGGACGGGCCAACCACCGCCGCCGCCAAAACAACACACATTACTTAGGCAAGAAGATGATTGGAGTGGGTTTTCGATACTACATAACACACAGCCTAGTCCTAAAGTGTGCGTGTTTCCGGCCACTTGTGAAAATCACACTCACCTAAATGGCTGTTTAAGCAGTATAGTTTTACATACATTCTACACAAGCATGCATACTAACGCTTCTTTGGCAGCGAATTGCGTCTTTTTTCAAATTATCAATTTGGGAAAAGGTACGGTCAGAATTTTAAATATTTTTCAAAGTGGCCCAGCTCACCTGACCGACCATAGTGTTGAAGCGACCAAGAATGCAACGGATGACGGAACACAGTGACCGCGGCTACGGGGATTTCAATCAATCTTGAATCGCCACAATCCTCTGCATCAGGTGAACTATCTCAGCGTCTTCAAATTCGACGTAGAAGGTGAAGAGGAGAGTAGAAAAGGCGCGAAACTGGCCGTGGCGCCATAAAAGTGTCTGACCGATTGACTATGAAACGGTCCATCTGCTTAAATAGTTTCAACTGCCGAGATTTAGCAAAGACAGTGGCGGAGTGCTAACTTGGCTGCCCGCGTCATACAGGTCGTGAAGTTCAAATCCAAACTCGCTAAAGGTAAACTTATGTCAATTTTCCACCCACCACCTTTGCGAGGCAATGCCTGCTTAAGCAGTGTGTGCACGTCCCAGTGATTTTAAGTTCTCGAACAAAATCAATCGACTTTCTTAAAAAGGATGCACACGACTCCGTATTACGTACGGCGACGTCGGTCGCCGGAACAGTCGCCATTACCCCACCCGTGGTATTCGTCATATCATGATAAGTTGGCGGGGAGTTATACTCTAATTGAGGGCTCAACACATATGTACGTGGTGAGTGGCAGTGTCGTTTTCTGACATCATCCTCAAACCATTGAAGATGCCCCAGATTTACCTCCTGTTCTGGTAAAACTATTTCGCGAAACACATATGCTACTGTCAACATTATAGTAGCATATTTATTTTGGCTTGAACAGTGTGTGTGTCGTATCTAACAGGGTCGTCGATGGCAAACCTCATCGCCCTCAGATATGCCGAACTATATCCCGCGGGAGTGGAGTTTTCCGACCCTGTCCAATAGCCAGATAGAACGTAGGGAATTACGTATGGCCTCGCAGGTTTGGTCATAAATCTTCGAGGACGGTCGCAGAGTGACGAGCAGTCAGTAATCAAAAAGGGGAAAGACCAGCCCTAGATTTCATGTAGTAGTCAGCAAACAATATACTCTCCCGAGTCCAGCAAGACTCGATAGTTGGTTACTGAACGCAACATTCCATCTGTTGTCCTAGGAGCTTGTGATTTGACAGGGTTTGGATTTTGCGGCACCACAATGGTATGCAATGTTTTAAAACATAAAATAATTTGGTGCAAATGGGCACGCCGCCAAACACGACAGTTCGCACGTCGCGGGCATCAAGGCTCATCACTGTTTCACGGGAGTTTGTCTGCAGCTGGACGAACTTGCGCTGCATCCACTTCGTTTTACTCCTCTGTCGGGAATGTCCACACTCCCAAAAATATTCAGTCAATCCCATCGAAAGGTATGCGTGCGCGCGCACCGGTTTCGTGCTGTTGCCAGGCGGAATCACAACTCGACGGCGTTTCGCCATTGGCTGCGGCCACAATGCTTCCCTATAACCCAATTGGTCCATGTATGCGAGAAGTTGTTCGACTCTCCCAGTCCTCTTCACCCGGGGCGGAATGGACAGAATGCTAGTCAACCTGAACGGCATGCTATAAATGCACACAGTTTTCGCGTAAAAGATGACTTGCATGTTTCTACACATTTTGCCATAGCCGATCGTTTACTGTTATGCCAGTCATTACGACGGCAACGGACGACAGTCAAGAACATTTACGGCTCATGTTATCATTGGGCGCAGAATCGGATCATAACGTCCTCTCATGTCCATAGGACCCCGGAAAAAATCAAAACGACCGGGGATGGACGGGAACGATGGCTGAGAGACCTAGACAACGCAGATAGGTTGCTCTGTCGTCCTCACACATCAGGCTTCAGAGGGGGAGAGATCTTGTGTCTCACATAAGTTGGCGTCTTAAGAACCATATTAATACGAAACCATTGCACGACGACCACCACGCCGGAGGTAAATCCATCGGTAGGCAACCTTCTGAAACATGTCTGTTGGCACGTTGAGATGCCTTAAATGTGCGCTTGTTTGACTATATCAAGTAAGCTAGGGACCAGATGCACCTTGGGCCTGGGTCGGTTGTCCAGTCCCTATTCCGCGAAGTAGGACAGCGACTTCTGAGAGGAATGCACAATAACTCATTCGACTAGTCCAGTGAATGATCAGACAAGTCTGGATCCCCCTCGTCAATGATACTTTCTGTCTATTGATAATGCGTCGCTAATCGAGCTCTTAATTAATGCGAACGACTTTCATTTCGTTCTGCAGTCAAGAGATGTTGGTAAATCAATTTTCAACGTGACATGCCAACCCCTCCCCCAAGCTCCACACCGGACTCAACTCACTGAACCCACACTAAACAATCAATTCCATTCTGGTGATTTTCCTGAGTCGCATCTTCAATATTTCAACACTGCGTTCTATTCCAATATTTGCGTCTGGATGACAGTGAGCCTACTTAACTGACGCATTCGTCGAACTCTGCCCTCACTCGGATGCATTGTGCTCAAAATGTCCCTTCCTCGCATACCAACATGCCAACCCACCACCACATGTTGACGAAACCACGTCAACGCACGTATGGTTGATGCAACAACTGCACCTCCGAACAGATCGCAGCATCACCCTCATACACGATCCGAGCCACACCTGTAATCATCCACGCACGCCCTCAAACCCGCAAGTGCACTGGATCAATCCACTGACATCGTTACTTGCCTCACGATCGACACCGCCGCTTCGTTGTGTCTAGCGGGGAGCTGTTTTCGACAGCCATCATGGCCATGTCTAGCGTCCATGTTCATGCTCCGCAGGCTCAAGGTCATTCGCCTTCGCTGAGGGCGGCTCCACATGCGTTGACCCGCAGCGCCTCGATCGACTTCAACTCGGACGCACAGGCGTCTACAGAGTCGCAGTTGCCAGTGCCCCTCTTGAGCACACTACCCCACTCCGAATACCACATAAACCACTCGATGACCGCCCCCAGCCCGGAAAGTGTAATACACACCTGTAGGACACCGCCTGAACTTGCTTCACAAGCCAACAAATGCGGCTGCTGCTGCTGAAATATCACGCACAAACGGACGCGGTCAACGCTTGTTCTGGCTTTGCCAGTGGTCACTGCTTTCTGAGAGGACAGCTTAGCTTCCTAGATACAATAAACCTCCCATTCTGGTGACTTCTGTTTTTTTTTCTCTCTCAGCGCCGGACTTGGCCTGATGACTGCAGCGCTCTGGGTACAGTCTCACCACTTAGACGCCACACGGCACAATTTTCCCGTCCATGCATAGCCCTTATTTCTTGTTGCCCGATTGGGAGGAACGATTTTCAATTCCGTAAAACTAGGCCGCCGTTTTCGACATACAGCGGAAACCAATTAGAACTGACCAAATGTGAACGCGTTTGCTGCAAATATGAAGGGGTTTCATGTGTAACACTATTCAAGCATTTGTTGCACTGTCTGACATGCAGTGAGCCTGTCCGATCACAGGACTATTGTGAAACTATCCCCCTATCGCAAACGAACTCGACGCCTTGAAAATCCTTACAGCAACCAGCTTAGAGAGTTAGCCATGTCAGGTGGACTTTCACGTCACAGCACTTAAAAAGAAATGCAAAGTTCGTGTTCCAACTTTATTCAGCAAGCTTACAAGACTCCTCTATAGCGTCCTCGGCGGTTCTGATGCCTAAAAACAATGAGAGAAAAAACGGTTAGTTAATTTTCAGGCATACAATATTGCACTGTACATGTCAACTTAGATTTTCATATGAGATTAAATCAGATCTGAACTTACGCGTGTAGGGTCAAACTAGACACACAGATCTTAGGCCTGTTGTGCTCTTAGCGAGCTGCGTATGTACTATCTGTGTTATGTGTCCTATGACACAGCGCTGATGCGGCGCGGGGCTCGGCTTAGTAAGACGTGATCTTAGGTCCTCATTATCGGTGTCTAGGTCAACATGGCGATTGATACTGTCCGTATTAGAGTACCATGTCTTCAGGAATTCTCTCGTCCGTTTTGTGTCGGCCGTAGCGATGACCTCAGTGTCATTCCAATTGAATCGGTTGTCGCAATGGAGTGCGTGGGCAAAGACGAGGGACACTGGGTCACGGCGACGGGCAGCTAGTTTGTGTTCATTAATTCGAGTTCCCAGGCGTCGTCCTGTATGACCAACGTATACGCAAGGGCAATTGGCACATGGTATGCGATAGATAACACTAGTCTGCTCCTTTTTGGGAATAGAATCCTTTTCTGGTGATAAGGCTGTGCGCAGCGAGGATGCGGGCTTAGCTGACTTAGCTAAGGGTCGATTATTTCTGAGGTCCCCTGCATAAAGGGAAAGGAGAAGAATTTCTGTGTCATTATGTCTCCATTTGAGGAGGGACCTCGAGGTTGTGCCTGACGCCTGAGGCAGTTCTCCACATAACTGATCGAATATCCGATAGATCGAATTAGCCGATACAGATAAGCTAGTTTTCTCTTTAGGGGATCGTCACTGCTGCAAAAACGGTAGGCCCGATGGAAGAGTTCGGATGCAGCTTCTTTTGTGAGCCGCAGGATGATTGTTCCTATAATTGAGGACGATCTCGGAATCAGACCCTTTTTTATTAACGCTGGTCGCGAGACTACCATCGTCTAGCCTTTGTACTTTCACGTCCAGAAATGGCAGACTGTCTCCTGCTGCCTCTTCGCGGGTAAATTGTATGGCTGGGAAGACATCATACAGCTTCTGGTGTGGCCTTTCGACTTCGCGGTTCTTTATTACGACAAAGGTCTCGTCGACACAGCGAAGTCACATTATGGCCCTGAGAGTTTAAAAAACCTCATTTTCTAGTCGCTGTAGCACTAGTTCGGACTGTAGTCCTGATATTGGGGAGCTCATTGGATTTCCCTTCACCTGTTGGTTGTCGAATTTGCAATAGCCCTTAAGGCGGAGTTTGAGCAGTTTTATAACATGCTTCTGTGGGATATCAACAAGATTGTCCTATAACCGTTGGACTACACAGTCAATTTTCAAATCGTGTGGTAAAGAAGAAAATAAGGCAACTACGTCGAAAGACAAGAGGCATGCATTAATGCTTACGCTGAGGCCTTCGATCCGGCGAAGGAATTCGTGAATGCTGATAATGCTGTAGTGAGATCTGTGAGTTAGCTGCTTCAGATGTTTGTACAACCACTTAGATAAACTGTAAGTGGGAGATCCGATGAGCGGGACTATAACCTCAGTGGGGCATCAATTTCGTGCACCTTTGGGAGACTGTATGTGGGCGATAAGGGGATCATCGACGGTCATCAACTTTGAGTCATCTGGACCTGATTTTCAGACGAGCGAGCTCATTAACTTTTTCCTTGATGGCTGCGGCATACTTTTCGTTGGGTCTTCGGCGAGAATAGCATAGGAATCCGCGTCGCCTTGTTAACGTAGTCAGTTTTGTCCATAATGACGATAGCGCCACTTTTGTCATCAGGAACAACAACACTGTGGTCCGACTTCAGTGGTCGCAATCCTTGCGCTTCTTCGGCCGACAAAGTTCGCTGGTGTCCATTTTTGCCGGAGGATACCATTGGCACAGTTGTGTGTATATATCAGCGAAGAGGGACGACAGAGAATGCAGGCAGATTTATACAGTAATGTTTCGGGCTTATTTTGCCCTGACCAGCGGCTGGGACCAGAAACACAAACGTGCGCACAGACGCGCCTGGGGCAGTTGGTCTACCAGATGGGTCATAAGCACTTCATCAAACCAAAGCTCATCAGCGTCTCGCCTTCTGTCATTCGCTTTCGCTGCTCTAACTTAAAACACGTGTGGAGAGATCCAGCCGAGAAAGCGCGTGAATGGACTACTTCAGACTTTCTGTTTGTTAGCTGAGCGAATGCTCTAGCATTGCGTACGATGGTCCACCGATGGAGCCCACAACGGAATCAGGTCTACTGCAAGCCTTTAGGCATCCAAACCATGAGCAACAATAAAGCGTCCGGTGATTGCATCCTGTGAGCCTTCAGCAATTTTGTAACTTGCGCGTTGTGTTTATTTGCCTCCTCCCAGGTAATCTTCCCACGGTAGCCGGACAGGGAGATGCACCTAGCAACGGATCCTCTCAACATTTCCCCAACATCTCTCCCTTCCCTGATCTCCGGTTTCAAACGTCGCTGCCTACCACGTCCACCACCACCATCTCATACAACTCGGCCAGATATGGGGCGCCAGATTACGACGAAATTCCCTCAGGACCATCTGGTGAGGAATCCTTCGAACATTCCTTGCCAGTTCCCACACCACGACACACAGAGTCTGTTGTCAGGATGACAGCTGCGCAAACGTTTGACGTCCTACCGCCAAAGCAACCCGTGCCTCAAAATTACGACTGCCGGACATTTACCATTCAGCCCCGTCCAGATGAACCCTCAACGGTCATGGATATTGCGCTACTTCCAAGTCTTAGTAGCGAGGACCTTGTCTCCTCCGATTCTACAGAAGTATACCTCAAGTCTCCAGTCTTCACATCCTCCATGAGTATTGCATTTTCACCATCAAAAGCGGACAGTAACGAGGATTTTGCCACGTTTAGGTAAGTATTTCATTTGTTTCATCATCAAACGCTCGTAAACTGTCGAGATCTTGGCTGAGCCAACACACAAGGAAAGGAATTCTGCGGTTAAGGCACGGCGGCACATGGCAGTGGTTTGTGCCTTCACAATTCACTGCGCCTGCAGTTTCAAGTCCGACGTGCAGTCAGGTTCGGCAAAAGGAGGATTCATATTTAAGTATACTTAGTGAAAACAATTCTTGTCGATCTGCAGTTCAGCAGTGCAATTAAATGCTCAGCGCCCAAAAGAATTATTGTGGATCCCAGGCCAAGACAGACAGATTGAAGTCCAAAGGACGTCGATAAGTCCGAGTAATTGACTGAGGATATGAAAGGATACTTGTAATGTTCCCTTAACCAGCTTTACACTAGGCTTTAGCGACGTGACCCCAATCCCAACATCAGGAAGACCCTAGCCAAATATGCAGTCGAGGATGCAATTGAAATCTATGAGGCTGGGGAAATGGAGATGTGCACATGCTATGCCATCTCAAAAGCCAATCCACGCATTCACAGACAGGGGCACCACGGCAAGCAGCGTCTCCAAAGCCCACAACTCTGCCCCTGGCGGGGGCAGCCGATTTTTCGGCAAATGCCTGCGTCTTTATGCTTGTCATTTCACCATCTAATTCGGGAGGCTTGACGTTTAAGTATTGCTTTGCCTGTAGTAGGTGCATACCGTAAGAACACATCTAAAGTTAGCACGTAGACCTGCTCACTCAAAATGATGCTCTGAACAGTGTTTGCAGCTGTACGGAGGCCAGTCGCCTCTGGCCCAAAGGTAAAGGACACGCGCGTCGAAACTGTTCCAGTGTGTCGGAACAAAATATCCAATGACGAGTTCCCCAGTCCTCTCCGGGTAGTCCAATTCCTTTTGCATTGACCGAGTATCCATTTTTGTTTACCAAGTCACAATTGTCTCTTCTAGCGACCATCCATTGTACCCCGATTTATGCGGCGTACATGGCACCGGCTTTGCTGATGTGTTATACCAACTGCCGAGTGAACTGGTGATGGACATTCAAGGTTAGGAAGGAGCTAAGATCCGTTGCTAGGTGCATCTCCTTGCGCACCAGAAATCACCTGCCCTCTCTACGCTTTCCGAAAGCCTCCCCTCTTTATGATATGTGTAAATGAGCAGCGTATAAAGGTAAGGTCATCTTGAACAAACCGGATGTTTTTTGCTTCCTATAATCGACTCTGGACGGAGGTAAATCCGAGAGATCGGGATTCGCTCCTTCCTAGTCGCTCTTCACCTCCGCCCGCAACGTCCTCATTGGTCGTACCGAGGGTAGGCTGATTGGCTGGCTCATGTTCAGTAAAAAAAAAAACAAGTCGTGCCGACGGCTGCAGCATAGTAGTTCGATGGCATGATATCAGAGTCACTAAAGTCTAAGAGAACAAAATTGAGACTACTCAAGACGTGCTTGCATAGAAGGGACGTTCTTGGCAGACACTGTGCAACTGGATTTGTCGATGAAGCGAATCTGCAAAGTTCGCTGGAGCTCCGAAAACTGGAGCGATTGGACTGTTCTGGCGCCTTCGATGCTAGTTGTGCCCTTGTGCTCGACCGAAATCCGACTGATCAGTGTGAGAGAATCCAAGCGGAATCGTACGCGATGAATGCATGCTGTAGAGAAAATTATTCTGCAACATTGATTGCATTCAACAGAGGACTAATCCCTAGGTAACACGGACAAGGGTTGGGACTGAAAGGTTGGTGGAAATTTTACAATTTGAAGATATTGACAACGAAGAGAGTAGTTACAGGCTATCTGGATTAGTTGATTCGGAGGCACTAAAAAATTGCTAGACGTCCCAAGTGATGATAATTCGATCAAGCTTTCGGGGCATTCAGCACTATAATAAACTCCGCCCTTGTTCAAATCCGAGGTACTCCTGGTCTGGCTTTCCTCCTGCCTTCCGGCCCAAACTTCGGCATGGCGAACAGCTCAGACAAGACTTATGAAATGGTCACTGGTAGGACAGGATAAGAGCAAGTTCGTTTAAAAGGGTTAAGAAAATGCAAGCGAAAATGAGACTGGAGACGTAGTGGCAAGAAGAATGCGTTTTGTTTCTCCTCGATGTTTGTAGCCGCGTACGTTGAATTGTCTCAGGACGCGAAGCAAGAACAGGTGGATATCGTTTCCCGAGGCCTTATCCCTAATCTTAGGGTGTTTCCCCTGGTCCTTCTTACCCGCAGAAATGATGTGCGCTCATTTGCGCTTCTCCTCGTCTTCCATATTTTTCGACTCCATTGTTCTCCTTCCAGATCTTCTCTAGTTATCAGAGATATGTTCATCTGTTGATCCATTGTTTGCCCGGGTGATGCCAAGAAGATCGAAAATCATACCTCTTTGGAGAGAAGAAACCATCCACTTCTCCACCCCGCCCAACCATGACAACGGACGCCGTACCAGAACCGATTCCCCGATAGAACCGCAAGACGCTCTGTCCACTGCAATATATCTTTTATTATTCCCACCTCCCTGGTCATTTTTGGTGGAACGCCTCAAATGCTTATCGTAATGCAATATTGTTAGGGTGTTCTGTATCCGTGCTCAAAGGCAGGACGGAAAACCCCAATTTCATCCTCAACTCGAACCACCATTCAGTCTCCTTTGTTAATACCAATAGAAGTTTTAACTGCTCCTCTCTTCGATATGGATTTCAACGACTCAAATCCAAAACTCTAGGTGAACGGGGGACGTGCAAGTCTGTCCTTAGATCTTGTCAGTTAGGTGAACCCCATTCCGCCTGCCTCCTATTTGTGACTGGCGTTTTGATGGCCTCGTCAAGACCGTGCTGTGCAGCAACTTAAGTCTATGTATATGCACTATTACTGTTGCGACTGCAGGTCTTTGTACGTTTTCGCGACGATTTGAGGCTGCAGCTCAAAGGAATGTTGGAGTTATGATGTATGGTCCTGGAATGAAGTTGCGCCGGTGAACGGCTGGAAAACACCTCTGGGCAAGTCAAATGTTCCCGATGGCGTTCAATTAATTCGCGGACAGATTCATTTTCGCTACCCGTAGTACTAAGTATGCCTCGTGGTCAGCTGCACCAGTCAAGGCGCCTTGGTGTTACTTCGACATCAAATCTTAATCCTCCCTGAATACTGAAGTCCTTTCGATTATAACTCATGATCTTCTTTATTACCTTCGACATTTGCATTCCCGTTACACACTTAAACCCCCAACCTCGAGATTTATAGATGTCAGCACCCTCCTGTCATTATTTATTGTTCTGCTGTTATTTTTTCCTCCATATTTGGACAAAGTTTGTTAATTTCAAAACAAGTCATCTGAATGCTCTCTTCTGCTGCCGGTGTTTTTTACGTCTTTGTCATTCGTATTATAATACAACGACATTTCACAAGATCAAGCAAACTGCTGGTAGAATCCCGAATTAGGCTTTTTATTCCTTCCATTCTGAACCAACTGCCGCGATGTCCTCCGACCCCACGTGCCGTGCCTTCCGCCATATGTCTTGTAGTAAATTGGCATATCAACAGTCTGTATGTGTGAAATAAACGAAAAATAGAAACTGCGACCTGAACTGTCCCAGTAATAGATGCTCCTTTAATGTGTAAGATTTCGAACCCTTAAGTAATTTGTTAACTTATCTTCTGTCCACAGTGACTGGTGGCACAGTTTTATGCGAATCTTGAATCATACTTTCAAAAAAGACGTATTAAATAAATAAATAAATTTTTTATTTAATGCCAGCTTACAGGCATTGTCAAGGGAAGCGATTAAACATAAATCCGACCGGCAGTGAAAAAAACTCCTGAGCTAAAGGGATAGAAATATAGTTGATGGTGGTTTTATGGTTTGGAGGGCTCGGGAGAAAAAACTGCCGGCGGTGGTAGAATATCGACCGTCAAGAAGGGGGGAGGTTGCACGGTATCGGAGATTATCGGACGTCAAATTCCTTTCATGAAGTTGGGGATAGCCAAAGTAGAGGCGTTGAGGAACAGTTGATGAGACCGGCCATAGTGTTCAGAGACCACAAACGCAATCGCCACGGTACAGCCGATCAGAGTTTTCAGCACCCAAAATTTGTGGGAGCTTTTCTGAATGCAAAAGTCGATTTATAGCTCTCTTAAATAAAGGATAATTTTACAGAGTTTTCACACCCATTGGCAGTTTATTCCAAATAGCAATTGCATTTACAGAAAAGAACCGACGATATTTAACAGTACGTGCCAGAGGAAGAAGTAAATAGACCTCACGGCGACTGTTACGTCGTGGGTGGATATGATGTCTTAAAGAGGTGAGTGGGTTAAATGTGTGACTATATAAGAGTTTAAATAGCAAAAATAGTCCCTTTTTAATCTACGGAACCATAAAGGATCGAGGCCTGTAAGCCGGCAACGTTCTTGGTAAGACAAATGTCGGTGTTCCGGGGTTAAAATTCTCTTGGTAAAAAAGTTTTGAACGGATTCTATTTTCTTCCGCTCAGTAGCACGCATGAGGCTAAATGAAAACGAACAGTATTCCAGACCAGGTCTAACGTACATGTTGAAAAGGCGCATTCTAATGGCCCTAGTTTTAAAATTTCGGAGGATAAACCCGGTCGTTCTGCGTGCTTTGGAGACTATCAAGGCACAGTGTTCCAAGAGATTGAGACTCTTGGAGTATGATACGCCCAAATCCTTTATAACCCCAGGCACATTTATGGAGTGACCTTCAATACTTAGTTGAGTTTGGCGGTCGTCGCCAACCACCATGACTGAGCACTTATGCCAAGAAAGAGAAATGCGCCATGTGCGGCACCACTGGGCGAAAGCCTGTAGATCGCTCTTTAGGAGATCAAGCACGATGTCACGATCTGCCGGCTTATATCGATATGCAACTTTAAGATCATCGGCATACATGAAAGGCCTACCAATCTGAAATAAATCGGGTACATCATTAACGAAAAGGCAAAATAGAAGGGGGCCGAGTACACTACCCTGAATGACTCCACTCCTCACACATGTGGGGTTGGAGATGGTATTGGAAATCTCAGCTCGTTGTGTGCGAGTGCCCAAATAAAAGGATATAAAATTCAAAAGTTTGCCACCTATTCCGAAAGAGGACAATTTAAAGAGAAGAAGAGTATGATCAACACGGTCAAAAGCCTTAGTGAAATCGAAATATACTATGTAAAGAGCAAAACCATGGTCCCTAGATTGGAGAACATAGTCAAAGAAAGAGAGTTGACAGGTGTCACAAGATCGAGCTTTGAGGAATCCATGCTGAGCAACACTCAGTATGTTATTCGCTGTTAAGTGACACATCATCTTATCCTTGATCAATGTCTCTAAGATCTTCGAAACTGCGGGGAGGGTGTTTATTGGCCGAAAGTCATCAAATGATGTAGATTTGCCGTGCTTAGGAATGGGCAAAATGTGTGATTCCTTCCACAAGGTAGGATAAGTATCACATTCAAGAGCGAGATTAAATATCTTGCATAAGAGGGATGGGAAAATCGTGTTTGCATCGGCTTTTAAAATGCTTACTGGGACACCATCAGGGCCTGGACTATAAGATTGACGAAAACGCCGAATCGCAACAGTTACATCGCACAGAGTGAAAGTTATAGTTTCTAGAACTGCTCCGGTCAACGACTGGATGGTCGGGAGCGGAGTGGTCGAGTCTTCAATAAACGTTTTGGACAGGAAATCATTGAAGCTATCCGCGGTTAACTGGGCATCAACTATGGTATTTCCGAGATCGTCTCGAAGGATGGGATACTGAGTCTTCCTCTGAGTTCGTATTTTTCTAGAGAAAGGTTTCGAGACATTTAACGAATGGTTTTCGGTAAACCGGACCTCTTCGACTAGCTGTTTTTCTTCAGACAATCTCTTAGCTCGATCAAAAATATCACAAATCAAGTGCAGAACAGAAACATCGTTCTGCAGATGGAAACGACGATAAAGTCTGCGCAATCTGCGACGAAAGTGTAAGGGTAGGAAAACCTCATCCTCAACATTAATAATTTTCTTACGGGGGACAAAACGAGAAATAAGCGCATCCAAAATTTCGTACAGATTTGCAGTGCAAACATTCACATCCGAACTAAGGAAGAATTCAGTCCAGTCGTAGGAATTAATGTGTGTTAATAATTCGGTTGAGCGAGTTGATCGGAAATTGCGGAAAAAGTTATACTTCTGGGACGACATTTCGTCAGCCTCGAATTCCAACGTTGAAACAACTATGTCATTGTCTGAGCCCCCAGTGGGCCTAGGGATGACACTGACGATGGCAAGCAGCCTCTACAGAAAATTAGGTCAAGTATACTTGAGCCTCGGTGGGAAAATCGACAACCTGAATCCACATCCCAACATCTACAGCCTCAAGAAAGTCATCGAACTTTCTGGAGCCTGAAGGCGGAGACCAGCGGACTTCGGGGAGATTAAAGTCACCCGCAACCAATTGATACTTAAAGCTTAAGTCGGTCGCAGCATGAAATGTCTGTGAGAGTAAACGATCAAAATTGTCATTGGCGTTGGGAGGGCGATAGACGCAGCCAACGAGTAAGGAGAACTTATTTTTTGGTGCAGCCTGGAGCCAGCAGCTGCCTTCTACTGCTGAAAAGTGCGGGAGGTCATGCGGCAAAAATGTAAGTGTTTGCTTAACGTAGACGCAGCTGCCCCCACCACGGCTATCTTGGCGATCATTTCGAATGCAATTGTAGCCTAAAAGAGAGAGTTCGGAGTCAGCTACTGAGGCTGATGCCCACGTCTCAGTTACTAAAACAATATCAGGACAATGGACGAACACCTGAGTCTGAAGCAAAGGCATCTTATTAAGCAAGGATCTGGCATTTAAAACAAAAAGTTTGAAGGGAAAGGCTGTTAGTTTTTAAGGGAGGTGGGCTACGTCGTCCAGTTCTGGGCTGCCCACGGGGCAAACGGTCCGGATGCAACCATCCGGTTCTGCAAAAAATTTTGTGGCATCGAAAAATTCTGACGTGGATAAAAAGGCGTAGGACTTGGGGGAGGGAATGACGGGCAGGTAAACTGGTAACTATTGTTAGCTAACTTATTTTCAGCTGGAAATCCGCGGGGCAGATACTGCAACGTATTCCCGCCGGAACGAAACTGAGGATAGGATGAATTAACTGATTCAGTATGGACATTATCATGAGGAATAAATTGGTAAAACGGCCGTGGTGGAAACAGGTTAGGGGGTGGGGGACGCATTGTTTCCATTGGAACAAGAGGTCTATTAAACGGTGGGAAAATCGGCATATTCGGCCTAACTGCCTCGATATAAGGGCTGGGGGGCAGTTGGGAACACGGTACGTTTTGAAACGGGGTATTTGAGGCACTGTTCGCCGATTGTGGAGGAAAAGATCTTACAATGGTGCTGGATTTATCGGGTGTCCGAGTGGCTGAGACAGCAATTGAATTTGCCTTTGACTTAGACACATGCTTAGGCTTACTAGGGGTTGCTGGGGGAGTCGATAGAGGCGTGTTTATACCAGGCGTGGTGGTGTGTTTAAAGAGGTCAGCATTAAAAGTAGTCGAACTCCCTACGGAATTGACTATGCCGTGACTTGCAGATGCCGCAGGTGGTGTTGTAGAGGACATATTCAGACTGACAGTAGGTGTCATTATCTTAGTGTTGGTTTTTGCCGATTTTAGTTTATTCAGTCTTCTCTGCAGGGGTGTGAGGTCTGGCGAAACGGAGCAGCGCCATTTACGGCAGAAGTCTCTAGTCATCTCCCTACTCGACAAGATAAAATCGACTTCTATCATGGAGAAAAGGGCAACTAGTATCGGCGCATTACGACTAAGCGAGCGAAGTCGCTTAGCTTGTGCGACACTAAAACTCAAGCCACAACTTTGTAGGAACAAATGCGCTCCCTCCATAGCAGATAAGTGGCTCGGAATGTTTCGCAGTACGAAATTATGCTTGCGTTTACTTCGTTCCTCAGTTTCCGAACTTATTACCCCAACAAGTTTAAAAGCTTGTTCAAGCACTTTTTCAGAAGTGCTGTTTATGTCGCCATAAATCAGCTGATCGATTATTCCGCCGGCTGATGGTCTGCTACGACTAGCAGAGGCGTATTTTTGGACGACTGAAGGGTCGAGAGGTTCTACATGTACTAAAGGAATTTGTGAGTTAATCAGATCTGCAGACGGCGAAGAACATACGCTGGCGTCTGCCATGTCTTCAGTCACGATTTTAGCACCCAGAGACGGTGGGGAGGCCGCAAGCTTTCGCCTTTTAGCACGTGCTCTGCGGGGCATTACAGACAAAAAAGTTTTTCGTTACAGAAGAAGGATCAAAACGTTTCCAACGTACGGAAAAGCGCACTGAATAGCAAGTATTACTGTTATTTAACTACAAAAACTAGAGAGCGGTAGTAGGGAAAGGATTCACTACAATGGATTTTTTACAAAATACGACTATTTTGCCAGACTGTCAAACAAAACTGGGAAAAAATTTTACCTTATATTGAAAGGCGACTTTTAAAAGGGACTCAAGTAAAAAAACAGGCATGAATTACTTAAGAATATCCAGGTAAATGCAGAGCTTCACTTATCTTTGAAATTGAGCTGCGCGCCTTGATTTGCCCTTTTCTCCTTCGTACCTAAAATGTGCTGGCACCACGTTTGTCCAACTTCTGAAATGAACGAAGATAGTGTTTGAATTGTTAACAACGCAAAGACTTATTCACGTGGCAATTGTCGGTTTGTATTTCCACAGAATAGAAAAGAGACTGATCATGGATTCCTAGTTGTACTTCACAAATATGAGCAGCAAATGTTGACTAGTTATGAGTAAATATGAACTCAATAACAGGTAGTGAAGATAGTTCAGCCGGTTGTCACCCTTAAACGGAGGAATAGCAAAAACGAAACTTAGGCATATTCTTCTGTAGACAGAATCGTTGTTTTCCCAGTTCCAAACACTCCCGATGGTCTATTCGATGGGGCTGGTGGACACGGTTCTGCCTGGTCAACAGATTATCACTTCTGTGCTATGATTGATTTCAGAAGGCGTAGGACTACATGCAAATTTTTTTTATTTGAGGTGTCTCCAGTACTCATGTTATTAGAATTCACAATCATTTTAGGGACCAGGTTAGGTTTACGTCTAGGGTTTGGGGTTGGGGTTATGGTAAGGCTAGTCAGTCAGTCAGTCAGTCAGTCTTAGGAAGTCATTCGACACCCACATTCTACAACTCGCATCTACGCCTTACACCTGCTTGGTCACACTATTTGGCGGTTAATTTTCCACGACCTTGACGGGTCAGTGGTCAATATGTAACGACCGACTGCTTAAAACGGACCTCTTGTTTCCTGCCCTCCCCTTTCAGAAATCGGGTTATGTGGGCACGAGCCGACGCCCTTCGCCGCACTCGCTGCTAAGTCCCAATTTTCTTACTGCTTGCATTTCCCAGAACTGATTACGTGTTATACACGTCGTTTATTCTATACTTAGTCACTACTTTCCGTTGATTTCGTTTTACCGGTTCACTAAATCTAGTCGTGTCCTTGCCATTGTTTTACCAGCTCTGTACATAACGTTTCTATCGTTAGAGTAGACCGTTCTGAATCTATTTTTCTACCATTCTCGATAACATTTTGATAACAAAACTCTTATAACAATTTCGATCATTCGCTGCTCTGTCTACGCCACCATTATCCTTTGCCATTGTATATGAGGGAGTAATGCAACATTTAGAGGAGTTTCCCCTTACTCCCCGTCAGAAAGAATCCAAGCCATCGTGCTCGGCGTCAGACAATTACGAGCTCCCACCCGCTGAAGCCTACTCGGCCGCTACAAGTACTCCTAGAGGAATCGGTATTACTGGTTACCTGCAGTGAATTTTTTATTCCGCGGTGATTGTGCCGAGATTTTAGTACTCACTAAAACGAAATATAATAGAATATTTCCGCGGAATGAATTTAAGGCAAGCAAGAACAGCAGAATTTAATGGTACCACAAAATTTCTCGACGGCTTCTCAACTGCTGCCGGTCGTTGCATAACAGAAATAACAAGTGAGACAGGTACAAAGGTTTGAATTTCGACAGAGAAAATCGATGTAAAAAAGCAAGGTCAACGCGGGGTTACACAACCACATCTGACCAATTTCTTAAATAGTATGCCCAGAAGGAAAGCCTTATAAATTCCTCATCAAAATACAGTGTATATAGGCAAATATCGAGAATCAACTGGAACTAAGGTCCAAAACCTTTCTTAGCAAGATTGCTCGGCAGTAATGTGGCATGCTATCAAATATAAATCAAACTTGAATTGTACCAGAAAATTTCGCGACGGCTTCTCAACTGCAGCCTGTCGTTGCATAACACAAATAACAAGTGAGAAGGTACAGAAGTTTGAATTTCAACAATGGAAATTAATATAAAAAAGCAAGGTCAACGTATACTGTGCGTAGACTAATCGATAAAATGGTAACTTCAAAATGCAACATAGGAATGAAAATGGGTAACTAGGCATGCCGAGGGATTTCGCAACTCAAAAGGGGCTCGGGTCTACCAGGGCAAGCTGAGGTTGACCACGTGGTCTAACTGTTTACATAGGTCGGGTTTCTCCCGCCGTATATAGGCTGCCTCCAGGTAGCGCAATAACCGAGTAGTTCGTGCTCGAACTAATACTCGAAAAGACGTCTTAGGGTCAACCGAATGGCCACTATCAAGGAGATGTTTTGTAATGGAAAACCGTGGAGTCTTGTTCTCCTGCTTTAGAAGCCATTTAGGCAGGTGATCAACTGCTCTGGCTGCCAGTTGCCTTTGCGTTCGCCCAATGTACTTGCAACCACAAGTACATGTAAATTCGTAAACAAAATTTGACGTGGCGTGCAATGACAAGGCATCCTTCGCCCGTGGAACTTCGATAGCCTTAGTAGAACTGTAGAAGATGAGTTCAGCTGAGTTGTAAGTTCTTTCAATAGCGCACCTCAATCGCCGCATGATGGTATTAGAGATGTCGCCCCTAAACGGTAAGTATATTATAACGGGCTTTTTCGGAACAGATTGCTCCGTCAACTTTGGCCGCAAAGTGTTGCTGTACTTTTCAAAGAATCGTGTTGGATATCCTCGTTTAAGCAGGGCCGTTTTTAGGCAAGAAATTTCATCATCCAGCATTTCAATAGAGCAAATCTTTCTTGCTCTTTGGAATAGAGTGTAAACCAAATTTCGCTTTCGTTGTATCGGCACAAAGCTCAAGAAGTGTAGGTATTGGCCTTTCCATGTGTCTTTGTGGAAAACAGATCGCCGTATTGAACCATCGTCCTGTCTAGTCATGAGGACAACCAGGAAAGAGAGCTTGTTGCACTGCTCCTTCTCCATTGTGAATCTAATCTTAGGATGGAGACTGTTCATGACAACAAGAAGGTCTTCGGCTTCATCGTCGTTATCAACAAAGCAAAAATGTCGTCTACATATCTTTTGTACAGTGTTTTCCTATTCAAGTTTTCTGAGAACTTTTCTTCTAGGTGACCCATAAAACTGTCGGCAATGTTTGGACCAAGTGGACTTCCCATTGCCACTCCATCAATTTGTCTGTATATCTGTCCATTGAACAGAAATTGAACGTTTTTCGTGCATAGTTTCAACAGGTCACGTAATATTTCGGGTGACAGGCGGGTTTCAGACGCATGGTCGCATATGATCTCGATAGTCTCATCCAGTGGTACATTTGAGAATAGTGATGCAACGTCCAAAGATATCATAGTTTTGTTGGAAATGTTCTGATGCTTTATTTCTTCAATAAACTGGAAACTGTCTTTTATTGTCTAAGTTGAAAATAGGTGTCGTATTGGCTCTATTTCCTTGACAAGCCACTGTGCTAGTCTGTGTTGGGGTGAATTAGACATAGACAGAATTGGTCGTAGAGGTATGTCCTTTTTATGCGTCTTTGGCAATCCATATAGTCTGGGGATACATGTTCCCCTCGGTTTCAAGGATAGCGCGGTTTTTTTCATCAATCAGATTTTTGTCCAACAGTTGTTTAATTATTTTCCAGGCGGATTCTTCCACTGCCTTGGTTTCATCTTTCACTTGCGTTTCGAGACGAAATTTACTAGGATCGTCTAAAATGGATTCCATTTTGTTTACGTAGTCTCTCCGGTTAAGAATGGCAACCCCGTGGTCTTTATCAGGCTTGGAAATTTTTATTTGTTCATGCCGCTTCAATGCAGCTAGGGCAGCCATGTGTTCTTTAGTTATTGGTGTTTGTTGCGTTATTGGAGCTTTACGATACTAATGACAAATGTCCACTAGTTTTGCTTTCAGCCAACCTACGTCATCCGTGGATCTGGGTATTAGGTCGGACAGTTGCGAATTCAAGTCTTCGAATTGAGCCTCAATTTCGACAGGGTTAATTCTTCGGTTTAGCACACAAAAGTCAAGTCCTAGTGATAGAGCCTCTGTTTGTAGCTTAGTAAGTTTGATGTCCGATCTACTAGAACCTCATCGGAGTTCTGGAGAAAAATATCGTCCGTAGGCTTCCTTTTTACTGACTTCATTAATTTAAAGAGAAATGACTCTCTAGTCTTCTTTTGTATGATACATGAGTGTTTAATGAACATTAACCAACAAAAGGCACTTATCTTATCGAGAACATGCCTAGATTGGTCCAGTAGAGATTTTATGCGGTCGACAACATCAACTGAGTCCTCTATTTTTGATCGCGCAAGACGGTCAAGATTTTTAAAGGTTGGACGTAATCCCCCTCGACACAGGATGTTGTAAAATTCCACAGGATGCTCCTTGCTGTATATGCAACTCTGAAGAAATTCAACACGTGTATTCTCCTTCGTTATTCTGCATCGTAGTTGTAACACCCTTTCCAAGGACTTAAAAAAAACCGCGCTATCCTTGAAACCGAGGGAACATGTATCCCCAGGCTATATGGATTGCCAAAAACGCATAAGAAGGACATACCTCTACGACCAATTCTGTCTATGTCTAATTCACCCCAACACAGACTAGCACAGTGGCTTGTCAAGGAAATAGAGCCAATACGACACCTATTTTCAACTTAGACAATAAAAGACAGTTTCCAGTTTATTGAAGAAATAAAGCATCAGAACATTTCCAACAAAACTATGATATCTTTGGACGTTGCATCACTATTCTCAAATGTACCACTGGATGAGACTATCGAGATCATATGCGACCATGCGTCTGAAACCCGCCTGTCACCCGAAATATTACGTGACCTGTTGAAACTATGCACGAAAAACGTTCAATTTCTGTTCAATGGACAGATATACAGACAAATTGATGGAGTGGCAATGGGAAGTCCACTTGGTCCAAACATTGCCGACAGTTTTATGGGTCACCTAGAAGAAAAGTTCTCAGAAAACTTGAATAGGAAAACACTGTACAAAAGATATGTAGACGACATTTTTGCTTTGTTGATAACGACGATGTTATTTCTGTTATGCAACGACCGGCAGCAGTTGAGAAGCCGTCGAGAAATTTTGTGGTACCATTAAATTCTGTTGTCCTTGCTTGCTTTAAAGACGAAATATCGTGATTACCTATGAAACCTATATTTTTTCCTTAGTTTCCCCACAGTCTTCGCAGATGTCCCTATATCTCACCCGTAAAGCCGTTTTCACTGCGGTCCCCTACTGGACGCGCCTGGGCTTCCTCGTTTCCCAACAAGGCCGCATTCTGAGCCTCTCCGACTATTGAAGGTAGAAATATGCGGATGACAGACATGTTCAAAGACATAGATGTTGAAACGCTGCTTCCCTTCTGGAGTTTTTGATTCGATGAATGTTGCAGTGATGGTCGATCAGGTAAGGGGGATGACAATCCAATCAGACGAGCCAGTATAAAACGGAAGACGCAGATACTCTAAGTTCACAGGATAGACCACACACCGGGTGCGGTTGGCTTACAACAAGACAATTCCCGCAATTGAAGAAATTTTATTAACACGCTTTTGGAGATCTGAGGGAGGTGTCGGGACTTTCGGCGGATTTCAAGCTGTCATAAAACCGCAATTTCACATTTTAAAACTGCACCGATAAAAAACAGTACATTCAGCAGTTGTCGCAGAGCACAAATCAGTGACAAAAATCGCGGATACACTGTAACTTTAGGAAGATGACTACTTAGGTAGAGTTGTAATATTAAGCCAACTGTTCGGTCATCTGGCGATATATACTAACACGAGCCCTTGCTTACGTGTTCCTGTAATCGACCGCGTAACACAACGATCCTTCAGGCTGCCCGACCGTGACATGTATAAGCTCGTCAAAATATGACAGCCAATGAAGTCGTAGGGCAAGGTTGCAGGTTTTGTGCTGTTAACTACCTTTCCCCTAACTGCAAATGTACTTAACTGTAACATATTTATGGACACTACTTCTAATGAGGCCAGTAGCAG